TATAAATAAATAAATAAATAAATAAATAAATAAATAAATAAGGTTAAATTATGAGGTTGCAATGTTGTGCAGGGGACTGGAGAGTTTAGTATTCCCATGACAAATTCTATCAAGGGAGTGACTGTATCTTATATCAAAAAGCACAAGAAAAGACACTGAAAACACCAGGGGAGAAACAATTCTCAGACATGCCTATATTTATTAAGGTCCAACATGTTTCAGAAAACAAACTTCCTTTCCTCTGGGGTATTCAGTGCCAAATTCCTATTCTGCTTTCAATGCAGAAACTGCCATTTCAAAAAGTATACAAATTCTGCAAAAAAGCAACACTTTTTCAAACCACATCTGTTTGCAGCCAGTGTTCCCCTGATCTGCCGTTGTCTGTTTTTTTGCCTCATACCACTTTTTATCTTGCAGGAGCATTGCCCACCCTCCTTTTTAGCCCACTGCTGTAAGCTGATGCACACTGTAATGCATACTAAAAGACTCTCAGAAAAAGAAAAAGCCACCTTGCTATACACTAAGGCACATTAAATGCCTTACTGCTGTGCACTGATGCACATAACCTGTTAGATTTTTTTTTAAAATAAACTGTTCCAGAAATGTCACCATGGACAGGTTCATTCCTTTCAGGAGCCTCCCCTTGATTGCTAAAAAGGAGAAGGAGGCATTTAAGGGACACAGCGATGTTTGCAGAACATGTACCCTCAACCAGCAAGGTCCTCAATACCATCTTCTCCCACAGGTGCCTGCCCCAATGTGTGTGTTTTCAGGGGTTTTCCTCCAAGCACCCACCCACCTGCTCAGTATCTGCCCAGATGGATTGTGACTGAAGAGAAGTCCGTCACTTTTTTGATGTATTTCTGATACCAAGGATTTTGTTGTTTAATTTGTCCAAGCCTTTCACTATACCATGTAGCTGATTTTAATCTGATGATCTTTGCTTATTTTGATAACTACATTGTTTCTGTTGATTTGATGTTTTCATGGATTGAATTTGTTTTTATATCTTTGTTGTCATTTTGTGAGCCACACTGACAAGTTGAGGGGTGGTTATAATTACTTTGTATAAACAAATTCAAGGGCTCTTGAATTGTTTAGGGTTTTTTTTTTAAGAACTCTCTGGCCCTTGTCAATTATACCAATCTTTTTCTTCTACTTGGCCATAGCTACTGTCATCTTTGCTGCTGGATGGGAAATGCATCTCTTATTTTAAGAACAAGCTGGTGAACATTGTGAAGGGTCGCATCTTGGGAAACACAACATGCTACTTTTGTGGTTCTCTTGCAGTGGCCCAGAGCTCTTTCATGCTCTGGAACTCCTAGGGTTGGAACTGGAACTCCTAGGATTGTAAAAGTATGGGTCAACAGAAGGTTCATTAATCACACAATGTTTCCATGAGCCAGAAGTCATTAACAGATTAAAACCTTATGCAGATTAAATTGCACAATCTAGACCAGCATGTACCACAAACAGAAACAGAATGACTAGTCTATGGATGTGCCTCCAAAGTGATAATTCCATGTGGCGAAAGCAAACAAGCCAAGTTTTGATCTCTGGTGGAATGCTGAGTCATGTTGTTTAGTGATAATCTATTAAAACTCTATTTCTTATGTCTAAAGTGAATCCTTTCCTCAAACTAGAATAGGAAGGGGGGGGGAGTGAGAGAATTCTACATGGGGTTCCCTTTTCTGATATCTTAAATGTTTGAAAAGGTTTGAAAAGACAGTTCTGAATAATAAGATTAATACCTAAGAGCAACCATATCAAAGCAGCAGCCATAAAATTTCCTTAATTAATTTTCTACTTCCCTCAAAGGGAAGCACAGACAACACTAATTCAGCTGTTGCAGATTCTAAAAAGATTATCAAGGTTGCACTTTGCTTGACTCCTTATTTCTTAAATGAGGACTGCACAGTGTGTTCACCCACCAAGCAGATTTAATCCAGAAGCTCTATGCTATGACCTGGCACAGTTTTGGCAAGCCTTTTGTCTTATTTATTGGATTTTTATCCCACCCCATTAGCCATAGGGCTCCCTTTCTTTACACTCTCCAGTAGATGGTAAAAGTGGGGCCTTTGTCAAGCCTCTTGTATATTGCCATGACCACAACTGACTTTAGGTCTAAAGGACCTCTCGAGCAAGTGACCCTTGGCAGGGCCCCTCATACATCAGAATAACCCATGACAAGCTTACCTGGATGTGAAGGCCTTAACAGTTGCAGGCTTACCTGGCTGGGACTGTACCACCAACCGCTAGTCACAACACTCTGATGGCACCACCATTTTTATTTCCACAATTAGCCAGAGCAATGCTACATCAGGAGCATGGTGGAAAACCAAAATGACAGTTCCTAGGCTCAGCCACAGAAGGATCTGGCATTAAGATCCATTTCAGAGGAACAGTCTAGCATTCAAGTTCATTTCTTTCAGTTGCAGAGATCGCTCCATTCTGATTTGATCAACTATAAAGACATTTGAGAATTAGCTGCTGTAATGTTGTTTGAAGAATAATTAGCACATGGCATTTTTTGCTATTTCTTACTATATTTCAAGTTCTTGCAAAAAAAAAAAAAAAAAAGGTTCTCATTAAACCATTTCTTCCTCCATGTCTCTTATAACAGAAACATCTGTTTCTTCTTGTTCAATCAAAGTGACAATCTCAAGAGTCCTGATTTTAAAGTAATGCCATTTAAAAGAAATTCTAGCAAGACAGAATATGCTTCATTAACATATCTAATTTGCACATGAAACTGAAGTTCCTATGACTCGCGAGAGGGTTGTGGTTGCATACTTTAAACAAGCAAGTTAAGAATTTTCTAAAATACTGCACACAAAGGAGACAGCAGAAACAATGCAACTATAAAATATGACAAAATTTTATGGAGAGTCTGCCAAATATAAGTTTAACTGTGATCCATGTTTTACTACTTCAGCCATCCCAATTTTTAATTTAAGATTTTTTTGCCCACGTGTGACTTCAACCAGTGGACAGTATACAGATGTGATAAATATTTGCAACTTTGAAGTTTTCAGAATTCAGGGTGTGTTACTTCACAATTCATTGACTAATGAAGGGGAAAGAAGGATACTGCAATGAATTCCAGTACTTTTTCTTAATTCCAGTACATGTGAATAGCGGCCACTCACTTATATGAGAGTCAATGTATGTACATTGCTGAGATGGAGATGGGATCTGAACCATCCCTTCCAAAGTAACTCCAGTTTCTGGAGAGGAGAACAAGGTTGCTTTGCCCTTCTCTCAGTCTTGCAAATTGCAGTCCACTTACTTTGTGCTGTAGAACTCAGCAAGAGTAATTGAGTTCTGCATAACCTCACTCTGAGGATTTTTTGTTGTTGTTTGTTTGTTTCTGGTCACTACTAGAGCATGACAAGGAGAAAGACCTCATATGCATATATATTTGTCAAGTGCAGTCAGAAACGGAAATCAGTTTGGGGGGACTAATTTAATTTGTGTAACATGCCAGTGAAAAGGGACCCTTGTTAGTAGCATCACAGCTGCATTCAGCCCCAACTGCAGCTTCCAAATTGGGCCTAAAGGCTGCCCCATATACAGTGTATTACAATAATGCAATTTGATCTTACAAATGTCTGAACCACCATGGTCAAAGTAACATGGTCAAGGAACAGCCATAGCTGGTGAAAAAAACTGAAGTGGTAAAGAGCACTCCTAATGACTGAAGCTTCTAGTAATGAAGTTGTAACTAGGAGTAACCATCCCAAATTATGGAGCTCTTGCTTCGGAGGAAGTGCAGCCCCATCCAGCATATTGACCTATTCCCACAGCCTGTGACCCGCTTACTCATACTGCTTCCATACTGGATAAATTCAAACAGTTTGTTGGACATTATCCAGCCCACCATTACATCCAAGCAATAGTCCAGAGCTTGGTTGGCCATTCAGATGTTACAGAGAGAAGTACAGATGGTACTATGCTCCAAATCTCTGGATGACCCTAGTGGCTTCAAACACAGGTTAAACAAAATTAAGGACAAATTAGTGCCTTGGGGCAGCCCCTAGCACAAAGCTCAAGGCACAAATGCTCTTTTCCAGCATCACTCCCTGAGACCAATCCCAAAGGTTGGACAGAACCACTGAGATTTATTTATTTATTTTATTTGGAGTTTTTGTATGCCATCCCATTTGCATAAGCCTCAGGACAGCTTCCAACTGACACTGGCCTCTGACACTCATCTCACCAAGATGGTCCAGAAGAGTCAGTGATATCCAAACCTGGACAGAGATCAAGTTAGGGGTTGCACTTCCCCTGTCATTCCTTCAACTGAGATAATCCAACAGAGTGACCAAGGCTGCTTCAGTTCCAAAACCAAGCCTGAACCCAGACTGGAATGAATCCAGATAATTTCATCCGAGAAGGCTTACATTTGCTTCACCCTTTCAGACAACTTCCCTAAAAATGGGCTATTCACAATCAGGCTATTTGCTCAGGGATGAATCCAGCCAATGGATATAAAGAAGTTTACTTTCATCAGATGAAAGCATTTGGTATGTGTGGCCCAAGAAGCCTCATCAATAGATAATGGGTAGACTAATTATCAATTTGCATTTGGATGAGTTTCTGAAATTTGTTGAAGGTCAGCATTTGCATGTAAATCTTGAGAATCCCAGATGATGATAAAGAGACATCATTTCCCCCCTTTAGAGACATATAGAAGTAAACATATTTTGCTTCAATTTCATTTCATTTAGGTGGTAACTCAACATTCTGATTTTTAGGATGTTCACAAAATTGGTGTGAGATTTTTAAAAGTCAATACATTTTGGATATTTGCTGTAGCATACAAATGATGGAACCATTGTATGTATTCATAGGATAAATGCACAATGAACCCAATTAATCTTATCTCTAGATACCTGTATCTCACCATCCCAAGGAATTAAGACAGTGCCTAAGGCATGGAAAGATAACCAAACTGAAGGAAGTTCTGGTTTAATTTAATCTTCTTCTTCTTCTTCCAGGGGCTGGACTCAATGATGGGCAGTGGCATGAAGTTCGCTTCTTGGCAAAGGAAAATTTTGCAGTACTTACCATTGATGGTGATGAAGCCTCCTCAGTTCGGAGCAACAGTCCTCTGAAAGTTTTGACGGGAGAGAAATATTTGTTTGGAGGTAAAAAAAAAAATTCTAATATGTGTTTTTGGCTGAGAGTGTTTTTGGAAAAGAAATAGTTTGCCTGTGAGAAGGTTTTTCCTTTGTCTACAATGCAAGTCACATCAGCAGAAATGTCAAGCCAATGTTTAAGTTTTCATCTTTGAAAAGATTCGATTGTACTACTAGAAAAATCCTGTCAAATACTGTCCTGCTTGAGGCATGAATTTCCAATTCATGCAGCATTAGATTCCTTTGTAATGTAGAGGAGGCCTGCTACCTTCCCTTGCATTCTCATGGTGGAACAGCCTGCACTCAGGTGGAGCTGAATATTCAACAGCTTTGGAGTTCACATTGAACGTTGCCCTTTCAACAAGATAGAACTTTTTCCTGTGAAATGGAAGACAGCCTGCCTGTGTGCAAATGCGGTGCCTTTGAAGGTCTTTCATTTGGAGTAACTTGCCAGCCCCAGTGCTGGGTAGTTCCAAGAGCCTTAAGGGGGCGCTCTTGCAGAAGCTCTGCTGCCGGGCCTAGAGGGAGGTTTGGAGCACTGGATCTTTGTGAATTGTAGTACTAAACGACTCAACATGGGCTAACGTAGAGATGGGAGGTTAGTTATTCTGACAAATTTGCACATCACAAATGTTCTGAAAAGTGTATCCAAATGTTTAAAAATGCTATAGTGATGCATGAGTAAAACATCCAAAACCACTCCTCTGTTTTGGGGTTGTCATTGGGGAATATCACATTGAGTGCCTGCACTTCAAAACTCACCATTATGCCACTGGTCATGGGAAGAGGATTTATGGCCACAGCTATTTTTAGGCCCTTTATTCCCCTAAAGTTGGTGTAAAGTCACCCTCCATATGTTCTTCTATTTGCTAAGATTATTTATTTATTTGTTTGTTTGTTTGTTTGTTTGTTTGTTTGTTTGGGATATTTCTACCCCGTCCAATCACTTTCGTCTCTGGAAAGACTCACAGAGATGGAAGATTTACTTATTTGTTTCCACTCAGTTGTTTCAAATATGCAAGTTTCGTTTTGGTTCTTTCTTTTTTTAAGCCAGAACAGTTTCCACCCCAGCAGGCTCAGAAATGTCACTGATGTTAAGATATTTCTGCCTGAATCAGAAATTGGCTTTTAAAAAATCCATTCAAGGTTACTGTCATTTCAGTGCATTCAGTTTCACGTCATTATCTCTCATCCATAGAGCCATAAAAAGCATGTATAGAAATTAGTGTTTAAATAGTCTTACAAAAAAAACTAATATACACTTCATTAACGGTAGATTCAAATTCTCGCAATAGCTGTGTCACCCTCTTCTGGAGAACCTGTACCCTAATGGAAGTGGAGCTAATGAAAAGCACTTCTCCGTGGCCAGTGGATATCATACATAAATATTACCAGATTAAGAATGACGCATTGCTAAGCAGAGCCTTTGTTCCTGATCTTTGGATGTGCAGTCATCCAGCATTCCTATGTTCCTTTTGAATGCTGCCTTTTTCTCCATGTGCTGTTGACTTAAATAAGGGGCTCGCGGTATGTGCCATTTTTTCCTGTATCCCTTTCTCTCAAAGGTGAGGAGATACTCCCCAAAGCAAAAGTGCACTGTTGTGTCAATAATGAAGTGCCAGTCTGCTTAGTAAAAATAACCTACCAGAAAACGGGAGCAAACTGAATATATAGAGACCGAATATATATCTTTCCCCATCTCACAGGTTCAGCGTGGCCAAATACCATTTATTTATTTAGCTTGCAATCCAATGCATATTTAACATTCCTTGGCCAACCGTGCTGACTGCCACAAGACAATTTTCCATCTAAACAAGCATAGGATTCTGCCTGTAATCTATTTGTTAAATGCCAAATAAAATCCTTTTTGTGTTATACAAGGTGACTAACAACAGCAGCAGCAAATATTGAATCAAAAGTGTACATAGTTGAGCTAATATGAATATCTATGGATAATTGAAATTTGCCACCTGAAGTTTGGACACAAAATTTGAACTCTAAACTTAGAAATTGCATGTTGAATGAAATTTTATTTCAAAATGTGATACATTACACCTTTTGTTAAATATGTGTAAATATAAGTATAAAGACTAAAGATAATTGCATGGCAACTCTTAGGTGCAGGTACATATTAAATACTACATAAAAATCAACTATACAGTATGGCAGTCTTTCCCAGCCTCATGCCCTCCAGATGTTAGGCTACAATTCACAGTATGTTTGTTAGGGGGATACTGGGAGCTACAGTCCAACACATCGGGGGGGGGGGGGTAGCAAGTTGGGAATCGCTGTGATATTAAATATTTCATATCCTCCAATAGGGTTGGGATGAACACTATCAGAATCTGTCCCTCCAAGCATTTGCGGGCTTCCTCTTGTGCTCAGCCCAGTCTTCCAAAGCAAGCTCAAAGGAAATCTGCAAGTGCTTGCAGATCCCCGGCTGCTCAACTGGCAATCTTCTTCCACACCAACTGCAGCAGACTAAAAGAAGGCTGCAACTGGCACTGAAGAGAGATGCTGCTTGTGCAGCGGTCACCGGGGCGGGCTGCTTTCCTGGAAAGGCTTCTTTGACTTCAGTGGCAGCCACTCAGATTGCAGCTGCTCCTGGCACGTGGGAGGGATGATGCTAGCAGCCGCATGGGCTGTTTTCCTAGCAAATCCCTTCAGCATCACTTACAGTCACCCAAGCAGCGGCTGCTTCTAGAGCATGACAGGGTGCTGGTTGTGCAGTGTATGGGACAGCACCCCATGAATGCTGGGCACACTCACCAGGAACATGGACTCTGGGCTGCTGCAAAGCAGACAGCCAAGCACAAGGAATCTCAGTGGCTTCCCACCCCTAGATGGATTCCTCATTCATCCCTTAGATAGATCTCATAAATATTGTTAATTGTCACACTTCAGCTCTAAAATATTGACATCAAAAGTCAGATATGAAAATTAAATTGCACAGAATGTCAAAGAGAGGAAATACCCTTCACACATGACCTATTTACTGGGAGATCCCAGGGAAGTCACAGGAATGCTCAAGAGGCAAAGGATTCTGTCCTCTACTACAGCTGTCCCCAGTCTTTTGGCACCCGAGACCAGTTTTGTGGAAGACAATTTTTCCAGGGGGTGAGGATGGTTTTGGGATGATTCAAGAGCATTACATTCATTGTGCACTTTGTTTCTATTATAATTACATTGTAATATATAATGAAATAATTATACAACTCACCCTAACACAGAATCAGTGGGATCCTCCCCCCCCCCCCCCCCCGCCGACCTGCAGCTCTGCAGCCTATTCCCTCTTCCTTTCGAGGTCCAAGACCCAAACGGGCCTTGCAGCGCCGGTGCAGCCTGGCAGCAGCTCTCCACACCACCTCATGCTTTGTCACGTGTGTGCCGTGCACTGGGTCTGCTCGGCCTCCTCGTGCCTTACTCACTCCACCTCATCCTGACTCACAGCCCAGCTCGTACCCCCTTCTCAATTCTGTTGCTGCTCGCATGCACCCTCCCCGGCTTCTCTGCACCACTTGCCACCTGGCTTTGCTGCTGCTGCTGCCGCCGCCGCCACTACTCCCTCCTCCTTTTGAGGCCCTGATGATAATGTGTATTTGCATACAGATGAAGCTTCACTTGCTCACCTGCCATTCACCTCCTGCTGTGCAGCCTGGTTCCTAACAGGCCACGGACTGGTACCGGTCCATGGCCTGGGGTTGGGGACCGCTGCTCTACTGCAAAGTTTTTGAGGAAATTCTAAAGAGGATTGGAGATAAGAGGCAATTTCGTATCATGGGTTATATTTCCCATACAATCTAAGATTCTAATTATTCTGAGAGAAAGGTTTCCTTGGTCTGTAGAACGTATCTGTAGAAGAAACGGAATAGAAACCTTCTGTACATGACTCAGTGGCAGAGCCTACGGAAGGTCTTGAGCCCAATTTCTAGCAATCCCAGGTGGGGGTAGAAAAATTCCTGCCATTGTTCTAAGCCAGCATCAGCAATTCTGACTTAGGTCTACTTAGTATGAAGCATTTTCCTGTGTCCTTCTGAGTGCAACCCATCTTGAGCTTATATGTTCAAAGATCAGTGAGGACATACCAGAATTTGACCATGCCAGTCTCCACTTCTAGCAGCACAGCCCCCTTGCAATGTGCATCATGCTAATGGGCTGCAAGGGCTGCAAATAGAAATGGTGAGAATTTTCTTCATTTTGAGAAGAATTTCCCAAAATTGGCTAAGTTTTCCATATTCAAGAAAGAAAGTCAAGTCCTCATGATTTTATTATGTTGGAGAATAATCAAGACTAATTCATCCATCCAGACCTTCAAGTACTTCACTTTTTAAAGTCTGGTTCTGAATCCCTGTATATGGTCACCAACTTTCTTTTCTGACATGTTTCTTATCTTTAATACCTGTATGGCAGGCAGGTACTTCATGGTCTTCTTCATGATAGGATTAGCTGTACCTATTGATTTAAGGTGGTGCACAAGTGTGAGAATCTTGCTTTAGTTCATGTTGTATAAGCATTTACCAAAATGCACAAAGTTCTCCCTATTCAGGAGAGAAAGAACCTCTCACTCTCTACGTGGGGCTGCCCTTGAAGACGGTCCGGATACTTCAGATGGTGCAAAATAGAGCTGCCAGGATGCTGTCGGGGACTGGGCGTTATTCTAACATAACTCCAGTCCTCTATCAGCTCCACTGGCTTCCCATTGAAGTCTGGGCTCAATTCAAGGTGCTGGTTATTACCTATAAAGCCCTAAATGGCTTGGAACCAGGATACCTAAAGGAACGCCTTTTTCCCTATATGCCCTCCTGCCCCTTATGATCGGCAGCAGAGACCCTCCACTGAGAACCCTCTTTGAAAGAGGTTAGGAGACAGAGTACTTGGAGGAGGGCTTTCTCTGCAGGGGCGCCCCACTATGGAATGTCATTATATGCTTTTCGGTGCCAGGTCAAGACCTTTTTATTTAACCAATATTTTAAAATTAATTAATTTTAAAGGTATATTTATTTATTTAATTCATGTTAGCCATGTTATTTTGTACTCAGTCATGGTATAGCCAATTTATTTATTTTAGGATTGGTGAGGTTTTAATGTTTGTAAACCACCCAGAGAGCCCTCTGGGCTATTGGGGTGGTATATAAATGCAAGAAGAGGAAGAGGAAGAACCTGAGATTTTAAAAATTCAACTGTAGCTGGAAGTGAAAGTGACAGATTGATCCATCCCTAAATGCATCTGCCCTAAAAGTTGGCAGGGCTATGGCTCATGGAGGGTGGCCTCTAGACAAATTAGAGATTTTTAGTGTGTCACAAGCTTAAAAGAAAAACAGGATGTCCTAAGAGAAAGTTGATGACCTTGAGTATTCATGAACTCACATGCTGGAATGTGTTGGTGGGAAGTGCTTCAGGCAATAAATTACTTTTTAATATAATTTGATTCTTGCATATTTTATGACTGAAATAAACAGGAAAAAGGTCTGAAGGCAAAGTTGCATAAGAAGCTAACAGTTACCTTCCAGACCCTTTTGTGGCTGATCTGAGTGGCATTTGGGTGGGAACACAGGGCACAAGGAGAAAAGCAACATACAAAGATGTTTTAACTATCTCCCAAGAGTAATTTGGCTCATAAAGAATGAAGCCACTGGGACTTTCTGATGGATATTTTTAGAAGTCTCTGGAGACACACAGTGATTTTTACTTTTCAAAACTTATTCCCAAGAAAGCAACATAAATGTCACATCAACGATGGTACAAGTTATCCCCCACCCCAGCAGGGATAACTTGTTTTTTCAAAAACAAAGCACTGTTTGGAATATAGTGTTCTGGTGTGCTACATACACCATCTGGAACAGATGAAACCACAAGTTTTATGGAAAGTAAAAATCATAGTACTCCACTTCTTGTGAATATCCCTGGCAGATCTTGTATGTAGTGACTTGTGTGTTTGTCCACCTGCATTAAATACTGAGGAACTGATTGATTCCTTTAGTGGTCAGCTGAGGTTCTATTTCAGCACAGACCCTCAAAATACTTATCTCTGTTTTGTGGTGGGAAATTACCCAGAGCTTAATCTGAGTCAAGGTTTGAGGCTTGGATTGTGTTTTCTGCTTTGAGCTCAGCTCCAGAAGATATGAAGTGGGATACAAATGCCTTTTTTGGGATATTAAGGTATTTTCTGCTAAAGCAGTAGAATTTCATAACTTCGGCCTCTGCTTGTACATATCCTAAGAGCTTCTACTCCAATTCTTCAGAGATGTATCAGGATGTACATTCATAGCTCTAAAAGCATAAGAATTTGTTTTGCTGCTTAAATTCAGCTGAGGTTCATTGCCAAAGGCCCAAAGAATCTTGATGGATTGTTTCTTTGGTATAGCACAAGCCTGAACATCTTGGTTTTCCGAATACAACTCACTGGGAGCTCAATGAACCTCTGTTTTTGCTGCACTCCTGGACCTGGAAATAGAATCATCTGACAAGCCATGAGAGTGGTTTGGAAGATGTAGTCAACTTGTGGGGACAAAATTGGGCAAACCTCTTACAGTTCTGTCAGGGAATCTGGCAATTTGTATGATAATATAAGCCAGAAAGGGGGGTCTTTGAGCATCACATCATTTTTTGACATTGAGAAGAGTGGAATCTTCTTAGAACATCCATAATCTACTGGCTATGTCTAGGGATGGGTAAGAATTTTGTTTCAGTTTGCTTCAATTGTTATTTACCAAAATTCACAAAGTTTTCCAAATGCAACACAACAAGAACTTGAGATTTAAAATACTGGAGTGTGTGAGAAATAGAAACTGACAGATTTGTCTATCCAGATCAGGAGCTTTGAGTGCTTTGATCTTCGAAGACTGGATCTGAATCTCTGTGTATTGAGCCATGTTAGTGTTGAATTAATGTGGGTTAATTAGGTTTGTCACCTCTTTCTTTCTGACACACCATGGTCTAAGCACACTGTGGTCCTCTCCATGCAGTACCTCTTGATTTAGCTGTTGCAGATGGGTGGGGATTTTATTTCAGTCTTTGAGAAGACTTCACCAAAATTATGGAATCCTTCCTATTTGGAAGAGAAAGAACTTGAGGGTTTCACATTCACATTTGGAAGAAAGTGAAATGGAGAGATTTGGTCCACCTTAGCTAGGATTAATTTTCATTCACTCGCTGGCTAAAAAAGAGTGCTTCTGAGCTTGTGCAGAGTGCCCATCTTGCACCATCTGCACTGGAAAATTCTGGTTCCTATTTAGTATGATGCTAGTGCCTACAAATTTATACATTCCCCACCCTCCACCAACCTTGCTTATCATTTCTTTGCTCAGGAGGTAAGAGGACATAAATTCAAGTTCCAACCTTTTTAGAATTTAAATTATGACACATTTCTTCTTCCTGCCTTTTGCGGTGCCACTGCAACTTTATACTTCTCAGGACTGAACTGATGCTCCCTATCAGTCTTTTAATCTGAAGAGGACTTTCTGTCCTCAGTACACCTCATGCTTGTGAAAGAAGTCCTTCATAATGTGTCATGTAATTAATATTTGGACAAAGGGGACTGTATTTCACAATCTAGTGTTATAGCACTACCTCTGTTCTGGCATTTGCTGTTGTGATGTTTGGCAAGAGGTAAAAGGGAATTCTTTATTTCTGTAGCTAAATCATTCCTGGTCCTCACTATGCTTTGTCCTGCCCCAGAAGAGTCAGTACGAGTCTCAATGGACTTTAAATATGGAGAAGAGAGAAAAAAATGTGCATTCTGTTCTTGAGCTATGAGAAATTGTATGCTCTGCAGAGATTGAGTAACTGCATATATTGGTAGGATGGGTACTATATAGCTTAGTTTAAAGATCCATTACCCTTGGACTGATTTTTCTCCCCCTCGCACACAAGCATTTAATTCCTTTTATTTTATTTGTTCCAGGAATGCAGAGTTCAAATGAAGTAAGCCTCTTCCCCATGAGTCCTCTAGAGAACCATGTTGCTTTTGCTCTTTTTGCAATTATGTGCATCAAACAAAAGAGATTCAGAGCAAAAATAAATCCATTAACCTCAACAGAAAGTGTTTGGAAAGTTAGACACAAGAGCTTTTATTATGCTTTTTAGGTCTGTACTAACCTGTTACTTTTTCTAACCAGTGCCCAAGCGGGCAGAGACAGTTCTTCAAATGGCTGCCTTGACTCCCATTTATCATTGCTCTCTCATTTGAATTTTCCATTTTTTAAAAAATGTAATTTCTTGGGGGGGATATTTCCCCCCAAATAAACTGTGACAATATTAATCTTTAAAAAAAACCTGTGAGGTAGGTTGTGCTGAGAGTCAGTGACCAGACCAAAGGTATCCCATGAGTTTCATGTCCTAGTAAGGACCAGAAGTCAGATCTCTCAGGTCCCAGTCCAACACTGTAGCAGCAACACTGGAATGGCTGTTAGTCACAGCAGCAATGCAGCCAACTGAGGATTATATAATGAAAAGGAGGACAGCATGATGCAACAAAACCTCACATTCAGGATGTGAAAGGCTCACCAAGGACAAAGCCAGTACAGAGAGAGGGCAATGGTTCTTAGCTTGACAGCAATGTGCATGTACAATTCAATGCATTAGATATGGGGAGGCATGGAGAGAGTGATGAGCATTTGTTAATAATGCCAAATATTATTTGAACAGGTTCTTTGCTTGCCTTCAGGCGAGCAACATGTTCACTTTCTAGGGAGAAACCCATTTCTTACTTCTTACTTCTGAGCCAAATATGCATAGGGTTATACCATTATTCTCCTTCATGGATCACTGCCCTGTCATGGCGAAGGGGCTTGCATAGCTCAGTGAAGCTAAGAGCTATGCCATGCAGAGCCACACAA